CATGCCGGCGGCTGACCCTCCTCCGCGGTGTCCCTCCCGCAGCCGGACCTGCGCGTGCCAAGGCAAGGATCCCAACACCTGCGGCGCTTCCTTCTCCTTCGGCTGCTCTTGGAGCATGTATTTTAATGGCTGCAAATACGCCCGGAGCAAAACTCCCCGCAAGTTCAGGCTGGTGGGGGACAATCCCAAAGAGGTGGGTGACGTGGGCGGAGCAGGGCAGCACCGTTGGGGCTGTGGGTTCAAAACTCTTTTTCCCCCCAGCTCCAAGTTTTTTAGGGGGAAGCCTGAAAATAGGATTCCTTTTGGGATTTTTGATGAATTGGGGAGACAGAGGAAAGAAAGCCAACCTGGTGAAACCAGAGGGCAGGCTCACCTTGGTGTCCCAGGACTTTGGGTGTGACAGCAAGTGCTGGTAAAGGGTGGCACACATGGAGTCTCTAGAAACCCCGGGGAAGATGCCAGAGGGCTCATGGGTCAAGCAAATAAAAGCACAACAGACGCTGGGGCTGGAGGTTGAATGGCCAAAACCTCACCAGGAGTTTCAGCCAGATGCTTTGCGCCATGGTGGATGTTGTGGGAAGGGTCGGATGCCTCGTGGCGTTGTGGAGGCTCTGCCCCCAGCTGCGTCCCCACTGCCAAATTCCCTGGGTGACATCCTCTTCTTTTTGCTACCGCAGGAAGAGCTGCTCCGGAAGAGTTTTCAGGATTTGGCCACCGAGGTTGCTCCGCTTTACAAGAGGCTGGCGCCACAAGCCTACCAAAACCAGGTACTGGCCATCTGCTCGTCCTGTTTGGGGCACGCCGGCCCTGCGGCAGGCAGAAACGGGTGTGGGGTGGCGGCACGTAGGATATTTTGGATAACTGGAGCCCTCTCCTCCTTCCACCAGGTTACCAACGAGGACGTCGCGATAGACTGCCGGCTGGGCTTGAAGGAGGGGAGGCCGTTCTCAGGAGTGACGGCGTGCATGGATTTCTGCGCTCACGCTCACAAAGATCAGCATAACCTCTACAACGGCTGCACGGTGGTAAGCAGGCGGCCGGCGGGGCTTTTCGGGGTGCTCCCCCCTGTTTCAGGATGCTCCTTTTTGAGCCACTCAGTCCCTGCTGTCCACAGCCTGCGTGGCTCCAGAGGCTGGGTCCTTGCTGTTTGCACACCTCAGGTGAAACCATTCGGGTCTGTGGGGTGCTGAAGTCACCCCAGATAGACAAAAGCACGGTGCTAACGGGGACTGTGCCTTTGCTTTTGTCCAACTCAAACCCCGCAGGAGGATTCTGAATGCTGGCTGGGGACCTGGCAGGTCTGGGGGGATGCCAAGCTGGCATGGTGACACACCGGTGGGGGGGATAAAGAGGAGATGTCCCTGTCCCACGTGGGCCACATCAGACAGCGTCCCGCTGATGGCACCCTGCGCTCCCCCAGGTCTGCACGCTGACGAAGGAAGACAATCGCGTGGTGGGGAAGATCCCAGAAGATGAGCAACTGCATGTCCTCCCCCTCTACAAAATGTCCAGCACGGATGAGTTCGGCAGCGAGGAGAACCAAAACGCCAAGGTGGGCAGCGGGGCCATCCAGGTGCTCACGTCCTTCCCCCGCGAAGTCCGCAAGCTGCCCGAGCCTGCCAAGTCCTGCCGGCAAAGACAGCTGGAAGCCAGGAAAGCTGCTGCGGAGAAGAAGAAGCTGCAGAAAGAGAAGCTGATGACACCGGAGAAGATCAAGCAGGAAGCGCTCGAGCTCCCCATGCTCCAGCAAAACGCAGGTAACGGGGGCAGAGCCGTGGTCCTGCCTCCCTGAGCCGTCCAGAAAACGCGCGAGGGGACGGGGGCGCGGTCGGGAGCTTTCTCGGGCTGGCAGAATTGAGTGCTTGGTGGTTTGAGGTGCAGGATGGCATTTCTCTAGCACCTGGGTTCTTCCCCGTGCCACGGTGCGGCGGGGAGCTCTCGCCACAGCCTGGAGCGTGGCTGTGAATTGGTGCCACCGTGCCGGGTGACGCTGGGCGATGCTGACTGCTGCGCTCGGCTGTTGAGTGCGTCACTGTGGGATTTTTGAGTCCAGCTGAGTTTTTGGGAGTCCTCGCTCCCTCCTGGCGGCTTCCTTGGCCGACAGGTCACGGGGGCTGTGTGTGTGTGCTGTGCCCGCAGGTATGGCCTTGAAAAGCGGGCTACCCCCGCAGCCGCTGCAACCTTCCATCAAGGTGGAGCCGCAAAGCCATTACAACGCCTTCAAGTACAACGGCAACGCGGTGGTGGAGAGCTACTCGGTGCTGGGGAGCTGCCGGCCCTCCGACCCGTACAGCATGAACAGTGTTTACTCTTACCATTCCTACTATGCACAGCCCAATCTGCCTTCCGTGAACGGGTTTCACTCCAAGTTCGCGCTTCCCTCCTTC